ACTGATGTTAACGCCAACCAGATCACTTTGTAACTAACTTCACTTGGCAGCTGCACGTAGACGAAAGCGTAGAAGCATCAATTTGTTCGCTATCGAAGGTTCTTGTTTTATCGTTTCTAGAATGTACTAGTTATCGGCTTCTCTCTTTCATCTGACATTCGCTTAAAGGTGAGAAGTTGGCTTCAAGGGAGGTCTGTAAAAAACTGGATCTCCGAGTTTTTTTTGCCGATAGGGACACAGCCTTCTATGAGAGGGGTATAAGGAAGTTAGCATCTCGTTGGCAACAAATTTACAGACAAATTGGCGTATATTTCGCAGAGCACACTTCAACTCCAATGTTGTTGTTGTTGTTGTAATCGCAGGAAAGTTTGCGGGGTGACCGCCCATGGTCGGATAAAATATCTGGGTCGTTCCGGTATAAAGACCGTACTGTCCAGGAAGCTGGTCCAATACTGCGTCCTTTGGGTGTACGCACGTCAAGAGCACTGGAGAAAGATCTTTCGTCTATGAAAACATGATCGTTTATTTCATTTTATTGGAAATACCTGCATAAAATTGCCTGCAAGAGCTATTTTTCATGCGACTGAAAGACATCGTCTACAGCAAGTTTTATATAGAATAATATTGTCGCGGAACACATATGCAGGAATTCATCATTAATAGATGTCAAATTTTTAAGAAGCATCTTCTAATTGCTCTTTAATTTGTCTAGAATTTTTATTATACTAGGGAAAGATTTTATTTTACAGCCACAGGCTTTCGTAAATAAATTTTGTATGGATGGAAAGAGAGTTGCCGGACTATTAAATAAAATAATACCTAAGTATAGAGTCTGTTTGTTTGTATTTTGGCAAGCCAATCAGTAAAAAGGTTTAAAAATTGAGGATAAATATGCAGAAAAATATAATTAAAAAATGTTATTCATTTATAAATTTTAAGTCAAGTGAAACTCTTTTGTACCAACACCGGCTTCGCCTTGCACAGTATTTTTAAATGAAATGTCTTTATGAAAAATACTGTTTAATTTATATGTTATTTTACATGGTACGGCAATACCTTCCATATTATTTGTTGAATTTAAATTGTTACGAGTTACAAGGAATTTACTTAAATGTAATCTCCAACGCGATTAATTTACGAATCTATACTGATGTTGTCGCCAACGAGTTCACTTTGTAACTAACTTAACCTGGCAGCTGAATACTGAGTGTCCCCTTATATAGCAGTCGGCTGCTCGCAGACGAAAGTGTAGAATAATCGAGTTGTTCGCTATCGAAGGTTCTCGTTTTATCGTTCTAGAATGTACTAGTTATCGGCTTCTCTCTTTCATCTGACATTCGCCTCGCATTTTCGCAACAATATAATATTTCACCCTATACGGCATCCAGATTAGTATGCAGCCATGTTTAAATGAACACATGTTTTGAATATAATAAAATACGTTAATGTTTATTTAAGTTATATTGAAAATATTTAAGAAAATCAAAGTAATATTTGTGTTTGTTAAACGAAAATGAAAGAATAGTGAACATTTCATAAAGAAATGATGAGATAAAGTTAACAATTTTTAACAACAAATAACTGCGGAAAATATATTTCTATCATCATTCCTACGAAGTTTCATGTCGAAATTCCTGGTTGTTTGCTTACAATATCAAATGGGGCTGCAAACCAAAGCTCAGTGAATGCATTGCAATATGCTTGCTAGTGTTCAGTTTTGTTAGAATCGACGACGCTTTTCTCCTTTCTTCCTTCATTACCACTACCACCTCTCATTGGCAGTAGTTGTTGTTGCAGTGTTATTCAGTGCTGGTGGTACCAGTGCCATTACCTCCATTACCAACGTTACCATGTGAAAAAATGATGAAAAAGCGGGATCGCCAGTTATTGGTGGTCGGTTAGTTAGTCGTGTCTTCCGTTTCTGTTTCTTCTGATGGAAGTAAGTCTATTTTGACAAGCGGCCTTGTTATCTTACCCTTTTCGGTTATTACTTCCACGACTATTACTCGGCTATCCGGTCCTGGATGAAGCTTGATTACTCGACCTAGTCTCCATTTGATTGGTGGAAGATCTCCTTCTTTAATGACGACGAGGTCTCCAACTTTAATACTTGGTTGTGGGTGTCTCCATTTCATGCGTTTTTGCATTATAGTGAGATATTCTGATTCCCATCGTCGACCAAATGTTTGATTTTGAGGGCTTTTAACTTCTGCCTTCGATTGATTATTGAGGCAAGAGTTTCGTTAATTCCGGTTCTGGTGGAGCTAATAAGTGTCCTCCCACTAGAAAACCACCTGATCATTGGAAGATGGCGAAATCGGCCTTGAGTTGAGGCAGGACTCAACCCGCTGTAACAGAGTTATGAACTCTTCGAATGTGTATTTATTATCCCATGCT